ATAAACCATAACTTTATTCTCACTCACAAAAAAAAAAGAAAATCTATTCAAGCAGCTCAATGACAACCTGATAGCAAACAGAAATATTAATTAAAAAGCTGTCAACTCCTTCCCGATGAAGTGCTTCACTTTGGGTTGTTTCAAGCAGCTTCTCACACTTTTGGCCGCAGGGTGAAGCCAAAGAGAACAGTGTTGGAAAGCTTCGGGTAATGAACCCTTTTTCAAAGCAAGCTTCAGTGCTTCAGAAAAGCTTCATTTGCTCATCACTAGTTTGAACCCCAAGATGCAGAACTGAGTGAGGTGGCAAAAAGTGATTTATTAAAACAAAAGTGCTTGACGTGGCAGCAAACAAGAACAAGGGCTTTGGACATCAACATCAACATCAACATCAACATCAACATCAACATCAAGCAGTAAACAATGATCTGATAAACACTGAAGACACTGAACAGAATATAGAGGGAAAACTAATGAGCTAAAACAAGAAACACCTGGGGAAGATACATGAGGATCAGGTGTGAGTGGGCGGGGCTAGAGCACAGACAGACAGGAGGAAGAAAACAGATGACAAGACAGAAAACTGGAACAAAACATCAACAGACACCAATCATAACATTTTTCACCATAATTTGCAAATAAATTCTTTAAAAAATCAGACAGTGTGATATTCTAGATATTGTTTCTCATTTTGTCTCATAGTTGAGGTCTAACAGGCCTCTCATCTTATTAGATGGGAGAACTTGAACAATTAGAGGCTGAATAAATACTTTTTCCCCACTGTATGAGCAGCTCAGTTAGTCTAACAGATCAAACTGGTTTGAGGTCCAGTCAGGTTTCAGACCCTCAGATATGTTTAATCCATCTGACCAACTTTACGAAGTCAGAACCAAACAAAGATAACTTCACAGGTACAGTAACTGTGGATCAYAACCTGCTTTATTTTGTTGTGAGCCTTTGGGCTTCAGAAATCTGCTATAAACTGTTTTTAGAATAGACAGCAGTGTGTGGAGACAGGTCTTCTGAGTTTGAACAGGTCATGCTTCCAGTCAAGCTGAGTAAAACATCTGAAACTGAATCACAAAATAATTAATAACCAAGTCTCCTCTTATCTAATGGCTTCGTTTGATTTAAATAGAACCCATGAACCAGATCTGGCCCTATGTTTTTAGTTATTTCTTCTATAAAATCCTTTTTAGAATCGTCTCTATTACACAGCATAGAATGATCTCCCAGCACATTTTCTAATAAAAATATATTATAAATCTAAGATCAAAAGTTTTTTATTTACCTTCCTGAAGAGCTGAATCCTTTTAGTCTGGTCTTTTCTTGTTTTGATTATTCAGTCTTATATAATTCTTTACATTTTATGTTTTTATAATTATATAAATTATAGTAGTTTTTACATCATGTTTACTGGTATTTGGTTTTCTGCATTATGTTTCCATACTTATTTTTGTCATTTGATCACTAGACCAGAATGGAAATGAGTATTTTTGGTGGGTTGCCTGTTCAAACCCTGTTACAGCTGTCTCAGTCGTTGTGTCCTTGGTGAAGACACTTCTCCTGCCTTGTCTCCTGCTGGTGGTCAGAGGGTCTGGTGGTGCAGTATAGCAGCCCCGCCTCTGYCAGTCTGGCCCAGAGCAGCTGTGGCTACAATGTAGCTTACCACCATCAGAGTGTGAATGAATGATGTATGAAATTGTAAAGCACTGAGGATCTTGAAAAGCACTATGAGACTAATGCCTTAATCAGTGTGTTAATTAATATTGTGATTCGTTTCCCATCCAAGTCATCTCAACTTTGCCATGCTTCTCCTCCTGCATACTTTGTAGAGCTCATTCTAATTTATATCTGTAAAGCCCCGTGCCAAATGATGGCTATGCCTTTTGGTGCCTGTAAAACTTATAGTTTTTGAAATCCATCCATCCATCCATTTTCTGTACACGCTTCTTCCTTTTCAGGGTYGCGTGGGTCACTGGTGCCCATTAATGTTTAATAAATTATAATGGCAGTCAATGGAGCCTTGTATTGGTCCAATACTGCCCCCTGCTGCATCTACACAATATGGTACTGCACCATAGTTTCATAATATTTAAACTCAGTAGTTCAGTGATTACAATACTAATATGACTGTATTTTGATGTTTTACTGTAATACTGTCTTTATGTTGTCCTATTGCTGTAATATATTGCACTTCAGTGTCAATAAT